GAAGCAAAATTCATCGCAGCACTTTGCGAGTATTTTATCCTACAAGGATACGCACCACATGAAATAACGGTGTTGACCATGTACTCTGGGCAAGTTATTACCTTGCAAAGGACAATGCCGAAAGAAAGATTTCAGGGAGTCAGAGTCACGGCTGTTGATAATTTTCAAGGCGAAGAGAATGAAATTGTTCTGCTTTCCCTGGTAAGGTCTAACAACCAGAGAAAAATTGGCTTTCTTGCAGTTAAGAATCGGGTCTGCGTTACCCTGTCTCGAGCTCGGAAAGGTTTATATTGTATTGGCAACTTCTCCTTGCTAGCTGAGAAAAATGAACTTTGGAAGAGTATTGCCCAAGATATGAAAGATCGTAATGCCATAGGAGAAGCACTAGAGTTGGTTTGCAGTAACCACCCCGATCGGAAAATCCACGCAAGGGTTGCAGACGACTTCAAGTCAGCACCAGAGGGTGGATGTATGTTGCCTTGCACGTTTCGACTTCGCTGCGGCCACGGTTGCACAAGGGTATGTCATCCCGATGACAGCGACCATACCTTGTACAAATGCCAGAAGGATTGTCTAACCGAGGTCTGTTCGGAGCACCAAACTAAGTGCAAGAAAAAGTGCCACTACGGCGAGGGCTGCCTATTGTGCCCCGAAGAAGTGGAAAAGGAGATCCCCAAATGTGGACATCAACAGCTTGTGCCATGTGGAATGGCAGTGGAGGAATTTAGGTGCCAGAGTAAGTGTTGGAACTTTCTGCCCTGTGGTCATCTGTGTCCTGGAAAATGCTGGGAGGAATGTGCATCTTTCCAGTGTGAGAGGATTGTCAAGAAGGAATTCGATTGTGGTCATGAAATTGAAAAGTCTTGCTGGGAGGTTTCAGAATATGTTCGATGCGAAGAGCCATGTCAGGCAAATTTGGACTGTGGTCATCCCTGCGTCGGGAACTGCAGCGAATGCAATCAAGGAAGAATGCACGTTCCCTGCAAGGCCGACTGTGAGAGAAGAAGGGTTTGCCTTCACCCCTGTAAAGAACCTTGCACAACGAACTGCCCACCATGTCCTGAGAAATGCGAGAATCGGTGTTTCCACAGCCGATGCCCTAGACAGTGTATGGAAGCTTGCACACCGTGCAAGGTAAGTTTAAAAATACAGTAACTGTACACAAACTTTTATGGAAAAACTCCTTCTCTTAACCAGGGTGGCTGTGGTTGGTCCATAATATGTTTGATAATATTGAATTTTCCATTGAATTTCAAGATTGTGTGCCCCCAACTAAAAGGCATTACCTACACAATTACTGGTTTTTCTCCGGTCTCTGCATCTTAACTGTTTATGGAAAACATCACCATACAGTAGCATAACATGAAAATTATGGCTGGAACTCATAAACATTAGAATATCAACCCATTCAACAAAGCCACAGGCTGCCTCAAAAGTAAGCCTAACGTCATACAATTCGTTTCCATTGATCATGCTTGAAAGTGTTATCTTAAATAGCGGGTTCCTTTGATTTGATGTCATGTGCTCTCATGAGCAGAATAATCCTAGGTTGTTCTTTATCATTTTTTTAGGAACGCTGTACCTGGGTTTGCCCCCACTTCAAATGCAAGAAGCTTTGCGGTGAGAAATGCAACCGTCCTCGGTGTAACGAACCATGTAGGAAGAAACTTAAATGCAACCACCCGTGCATTGGTCTTTGTGGGGAACCTTGCCCAAAGATGTGCAGAATTTGCCATAAAAACGAGGTTACCCAGTTGTACTTTGGAACTGAAGGAGATAAAAATGCCAGATTCATTGAGTTGTTAGACTGTGGACATGTGGTTGAGGTTACAGCAATGGATTGTTGGATGGACAATGTCAGCGAAAGTGACGATATCAAGTTGAAAGAATGCCCCAGATGCCAGACTCCCATCAGGATTAGCTACCGGTATGGTGACATCGTTAAAGGAAAGTTGGCTGACATCGAGAAGGTTAAGGCCCAATTGAACCAGGAAGAGGAAAAATATCAGCAATTGACCGAAATTTTGAAAAGAGAAGCCTTTTCCCTTACACAAAATTATCCCGATATTCGTCGACGAAAATCTCCATCACTCAGTGAAGAGCAAACTTGCAAGCTCACGAGCTACGATATTTTGAAGGGTTGGCTGCAGCAAAGGAAAACTATGGCCGAGCTGAGCACAATTAAGAACCAGATGAAAATACTGATCCAAATATACAAGATAAGAGAGAGGGTGAAGACGAACCTTCTGAAGAAGACTCCTTATGGAATACTTACACCACCCAGTGCAAGCCACCCTGATGATATGTTCTTACAAGCAGCAAGGGATATTGATAAAACACTTAATCATTTGGAAGAAGATCTAATGAAGTTCCAAGTCTCCCATCAGAGGCTGAGTGATATACGGGATGAAGCCACATGTGTGAGTTTGTCGCTGAACATTCGAGTGCTATTGTGCAAAATCAAAGAGCGTTCCGTTACTCTCGCATCTGACCAAGAAGAGTGGCTGAAGACACTTGGCAGGCAGCTGGACGCTGGCCAGAAGCTCAGGGATGAAGCTTTCGTTGAGATTGAGGATACAATAAACGAGATCCGAGAACAATGTGGTTTGGAAAGTCTGACTCCAGAAGAGCGAATCGAAATTTCCAGGCCAATGAACTTCTCTCAAGGACTGTGGCACAGGTGTCCTAGTGGACATCCCCATAATGTCTTAGGCGAATGTCCAGAGTGCGGTACAACTGGGTGGGATAAGCTATTTTGAGGTTATATTTTTTGGATGTTTTTAAAAATTGGCTTATAACCAGACGAACGCCAACATTTCTTTAGATAGTACAGGTGACTAAAAAAGGTGATACGTCTTAAATTTGACCTTTTTATCCTGGAGAAGCTTTGACTCTAAATTGAAACGTGAGAAGGCCATGTTAAAGATAGGTCACTGTTAGGGTGTATTTTGTACATATATTGTTAGATTAGACAGTGTTGCAAGTGACTTGTTTCTATTAGATGCGTGCACAAAGGTTAATGTATTTTTTAATCTCATTTCAGATTGGATAAGGCAATGTATACTGTTTAGTCCAAGAACAAGCAGATTTGTGAGCTTGAAGGACAAAGGCGTGTACTGTTTGAAAGAGAACATTTCAGGATCGTTTCCACAGGTTACAGTTAAAACAAAACTTTACATTTTTCCAACATTGAGACATAATCGATGTGGTCAATTTTACAAACTACATCATGAAAATAACTCCCATAGACCACTTTCGTAAATGGCTGCCGGATTAATATTCTTTTGTTTAAATTTAAATTAGTCCTTCAGGCCTCGTTCTCTCGTACAAAATTCAAAAGAATACATTATCTCAAGCGAGGCCAGAAGGGCTCATTTAAATTTAAACAAAAGAATATTAATCCGGCAGCCATTTACGAAAGTGGTCTATAGAAGCGGTTTTGCAGCAGAATGAAAAACATGATTGAGAAGGTAAGTGAAGCAGGTAGCTCACCTTCAATGTAGCCGTCACTGCTCATGCTCTCATGGGTGATTAGTGTGCGTCTGGCGGGCGCAAATTACCAGATAGCGCCTTTTTCTTTATGACCGAAGCTTGTCAGTGCGGAATTAAATCCCCAGTATTCGAGACGAGTGTCGAGTGACTTTTCTTTTCTTCGCTTCTTTTGAATTGAGCAACAACTTTTTTCACGTTTCATTAATGTAGAGAAACTCTCAATGCAGAATAAGAAAAATCATCTGACACGTGTGTTTTCGTAGATCGATACTTCACTACATATTTTACTGATATTCTTAGGAAACATTGGGTGTACACAGGATGTTGCCATGTTACTCTTCATGAAAGAGCAGCCCATTTTATGTCATTGTATGACGTTATTCAGTTTATTCATACTATGACCTGAAAGACAGATAAGTCCTCGAGTAGTTTTGTTTTCAATTTTTCGAACGATTCGAAGAGGTGGTTGAGTATTGATTTTTCTATTCACTTGGGAAAGCGATTAAAACCGCATTCTCTCACCCTAAGATGAAATGAGAGGATCTCGATGTCGTATCAAAAGTCTCCAGTTTCAAACATGAGTTCAACTTAAAGAGTCTAAAACACCACCCAACTACTCAGTGTTAAAGAATAAAAGAATTTTTTCTTGTTGCAAAATTTGCTGAGGCATTTCGTCGTCATCATTGGCAACTTTAATTGCCAATCCCTCAGAACTCCTTACGCCATTCTGTAGGCAATGTATGGTTCCTGAGGAAAGCACTGAGGCACTGAGCACTTTGGCCACAGCTTTGAGGTCTGAATATCCGCCCTTGTTTAAAGTGGGTGGGTTCAAACACTCAATCCAGTAATACAGCGGAACAAATAGAAAAACAATATGTAACCAACTCATAATCGTTCAATAAACGAAAATATGAAGTGATGTACTTTTGGAAAATTCGGCTACCTGTTCAGATGTGATCAACTAGCCTTCTACAATTTAACGTTAATACATGTCCATTGTTAAATAGTTGTTTCCTAGAGGTGAATTTTTGATAGACTTCGTCTTCTGCCGGACTGGTTTCCACTTTTATATGAGCACGTATTACTCAATTGTTTGGCTCTAAAAAATTCGCATATTGTTAGAATAATTGACTTTGTTACAATTTTTTATCATATTTAGTGTGGTGTTTTTTCAAGCATTTTTAGCCCCGAGAAAAGCCTTACCAGCGCACGTGAAAAATTACGAGAAGTTTCTTTGATATCGCCAATCAGCTGTTGACACGTCACCCGCCTTTCGCGCCACTCATTCAGGTTCAAAGCGTTTACCATTTTTTTGTCCGAGGTAGTTTGTCAAATTTTATCAGATTATAGCTGCTAAGAAGACTGAAAAATTCGTATCACCATTCCCCGTTGGTGATCCCCAAACAGGTTCAACTGTACTTGGCTTTGTTAGTGGTATTTCATGCGGCTGAGAACGAAAATTGACAACTGGAAGATTTGCCACAAGCTGATTTTGGCCGTGTGCCTGAAGAGTGTCGGTGAGGCAAAGTCGATGGCAATAAATCTCAATAATGAATAAAGAAATATTTCAGGCCTCATTTTGAAATTGCGTGCCGAATAAATCAATAATTATTCTTTATCCTTTTACGATCAGTCCAATGTCTTACAACTAGGGTAGGAATTAGATTCCAATTTGCGTACCCTTAACTTGATGCGGCTGTTAAAGAAGGCTTTCTAAGAATTCATTTCCATGGCGGTTTATCGATAGATAATTCTATCTTTTTATATCTCCTAGTTAGTTGATGGTTGGTCAATTTAGCGCGTCACATATCAATGTACAGCCCACTAAATACAAAATTTTGTTAGAATTGAAAACTTCCCCCTCCATTCGAACACAGATGTAATAAATATCTTAATAACCTCATTTTCTCGGTTCGTACTGTAAGTTATGGAACATCATTTTTTTCGCGCGGATTTATGGCTCTCGCGCTAGGAGTTTTAAGGATAAATCCGAGCGAAAAACAGACTCAGTCCGTAACTTACAGTACGGACTTCGATCTCAGTTAGTAAGAGGTATTTCCATTTGTGTGTACAAACCTTCTTGGTTCATCAAGTGAACACTTTAATATGCTCTCCCAACGGTTCAACGGCGTAAATAAACCTGGTATGTAGGCGGGAATCCCCTTTCAACCTGACAAAGGGACACATGGGTCAAAATTTAGGTAATTCCATTTTATTTGATTACTTAATCTCTTTCGCCATTGTTCGCTAAGTATAAAATGAGTGACGTTCATTGTACTGGGAAAATGAAACAAATTAAGATGGAAATCAAAGAAAGCAAGTTATACTGTCCAAAAAAATTTAGAATTAGAACAATGATGCCTTTTTTACAAAATTTAAGATATTCATGATAAACTGTACCAATTCTTGTACCATTTTTTCACCAGTTTTGTCATGATGTATCCTACCCCTGGACCAAGATAGCCTCAAGTACACCAACGTGTATTCATGTCAACGTGTGCACCTCCCTCCCCTCCCCCCTGAGACAAAAAGTCAGTAAGTTAATAAAGGAGTAGAGTTTCAATCTCAGCCCACGATCGGGGTTGTGAGGCGGGTACATCCTCGTCCACCATCTTTACCAAGGCAAGAGCGGGGCTAAAACTAGAGGCGCCAGGACATTTAGGGTCCACTTTCGATCGGAATGTTTTGCAGTTAAGCTTAGCGGTGACAGTTTGTTGAACCGAAGTTGAGACCAGTTTTCCGGCGCGCTCCATATGGACGATGTCGACGGCCAAAAGGGTGGCTTCTTTAATGCCCATGGTTTGATTATAAGATAATGAGACATTTTTACACTGCACCCAGCGTAAATTGGGTACAGGCTGTTCTGCGCACACCAGCCGGCGCGCCTGGTCAATCGAAGCTGTTGGATATGAGGTGTTGAAGATCTCGTTGTCTGAAACTGACCCAAAAGCTGGACAGAATAGTTGGAAAGCTTGAGAACCGAGAAGTCTCAAGTGATCTATAACCTCAACCTGTAGTGAGTACAAAGATGAGGGTTATTTTAATACAACTTCTGTTCCATTCCTATTTTTTAAACGAAGTCACAGTAAGGAGTGTTTCTATACCGAGCTAAAGGCAACACACGTACACTTACGTAATTTCTTGCATAAACGCTTTACTCCATGCCGTTTTGTGTCGAAGCTTAACCTCTCGACTACAAGCAGTCCCTCCATTTCGTCGCACGAGTGAAAAAAAGAAGTGGAAAAAAAATTGATGTTAACGAACCGCGTGGACCTTTCTACTTCTCGGGCACCTCATTCCCAAAAGTTCCGCTCGGCGCTAACATCATTTTTCTTTTTTTTCACTTTTCTTTTTTTTTTTTTTACTTACGCGACTGACTTCGCCAAAAATCAGGGACTGTTCGTAGTCTACTTAATCTTATTTTGCCTGTTATTGGAAGGCGAAGGAAAATGAAGTTTCGTTTATTACATTACATTACTGTCCTACATGATTCTATCATAGCATACCTCTGTTTTGACGTATCTCTCTTTGCCGTTCACTGTTATTATTGCCCCTGGGGTTATTTTTGCATTTTCCAGTTCTTCTTCTGACCATTTTCGTTCCTTTTTTGATTGTTTCTTTAATGCCGCCGCCCCAACGTCGACACAAAAAATATTATTGTCAAGGGAACAGCTATTTTCTGATGAGACTCTCTTCACTGTTTGAGCATAAACCAGGAACTTATCTGTCTCTACGGAACTCACGCCAGTTACCACGGCCTTTTTATTGAATTTAAAGGACATGTCTCCTGCGGAAAAAAATTCAGTGATTTCATTTTGAAAGTATTTTATCCCAGGAATGTGTGCTTCAGTTTTCAAGCACAGTGGAACTATTTTTCAAGGGACATCCTCGGGACAACGACATGTGTCCCTTGAATAGGGATGTCCCTTCAATGTTGTTACAAGGATCAAAGATTATTGATCCAAGGAATTCTTCCATTCTAACGATGTGTGCCGCAGTTTTCAAACACAATAATGAAACCATTGTTTGAGGGACACCTGCGGTATAACGAAATTTGTCCCTCGAAAAGAGATGTCTGATCAATTCAGGTACCGAATACAAAGACTAAGGAGCATCAAGTTTTCCCTCGGGACCAACGTCAAGTCCTTTGAATAGAGCTGTCCCGAAGGAGAGCCTCCACATTTTTCGACGTGTGTTAGAGATTTAGTGAGAAGGGAGGAGAGGTTAGGTTGCTGTAAATTACTTTTTGAGGGAAGAAAATTTTATTGATCAACTTCAAGGGGGGGGGGGCTTAGAAATCATTTATGAGGAGATCGTTTTGGGAATTCAAATCAAGAATCGTAGTGATAAATGATATTCTATTTGTTGTAGTTATATTTCCACAAAACCACCATCAGAGGAGGGAATCATTAAATCTATATCTGCCAAACATTGAGGATCATTAGAATAGAATACTCTTGAGGTATCACGAAAATTATATTGCGACACGACCAAAATCCTCCCACCCCCTTCCCCAGGGAAAGAATAATGACCAGTCCTTGAGAAGTGTTATACCGTCGCATACGTAATTTTGTTTATAAGTGCGGTTGTACGTCAGATATTTGACAGAAATTATCTTGGAATACCACGGAATATATTTTCTGCTTTTGATTTATACCAGAACGTCCCCCATTCGGAGGTGATATCTATCCCACCCTGGAATTCGTGCGGGCTGAAATACGAGCAGTCTTCAATGAACAGATGCAGAGCGTATTATGACGCCATCGGAGCGGATAAATCTGGGAGCTCACGAAGATGAAACTCGTACCTTTGCATTTATGTTATTTTCAATCATTAAATATGTGTTGATGAAATATTAGATATAAATTCTGGCGGTTTTTTGGGACACCGAAAAAAGTTAGGACCTACTGTACACAAACATATAAACCAGTGAGGTTAATGAAGTAGGAAATAAAGAGATCTGGCAGAAATTGAATGACAGTAATCGTCAAGACGACATCAACGTACTCGTTTATGAAAAATGAATCTTTGGGGATTGAATCAATTTCTAACCCTCTCAATAATCAATAATTCTTTAGTAAATGGTAAGTCAAATGTTCATTCTCGGCAGAAATTTTCCACAGTCTGGTGAGACCATTACGTATCTTCAACTCTAAACGATTCTTGAAGTAAAGAGCCTCTTTGAAGAAGAAAAAAATATTTTACACTCAAGTAGAGTTGTTTTGGTTGCAGTTAGGTACGGTTTACAGTTTTTATTGTTTCTCTCACTTACAACACGCGCTATGATTGGTCAACTCAGTGGGCCGTAATAGAATTTACGGGATCGTAAACTTTTGGTTGTTTTGCTGCTAAAATCTCACGCTGCATGTAATTATCGCCAATTGTACTAAACTTTCGCCGATAAGTAAAGATTTACTCTTTTGTTTTCTTTAAAGTGTATGTTAAAACATGCTAAAAACTGAGGAACTTTTTCGAATGGTCTTATGAATCCATTCGACTTGACAAGAAGTCTTTTCCCCGAATCAAATAGCTGATTAACCATGTCTCCTACGACCGTATTGTAGTTTACAAATCCCCTTTTACCTCCTTGGATTTATGTTCCGCGCAATTCGCGGCCATTGACGTAAGATACGAGTCTCAAAGTCGCCTAAAAAATAGCGCTCCGAAAAATCTAACGAGCTGTGAGATTAAAAAGGATAAAAAAACGAAAAGAAAAAGACAGTGCAAACCTCAATAGATTTAGATAAAACCTCAGCCGGTGTTAACAACAATGAAGAAAGAGACCACGTCTGATGTTTGTTTTCGCCGATTTTAACACGGAGATAAATATGCTAATTTGTGGAAGTGTAAGGCAGTCTAGGGTAACAAAGATGATGGTCAACAGATTGTATGTAACTTAAAAATAGCCAATTTGATGAAAGAGTACCTTGGAATAGCAACGACAACAAAGATCCTTAAATATGGCCTGATGATAAAATTAATTTCCCTAGCTCAAGTAATGTCAGACTGGTAAAGACTTGTTACTTTTATAGTACCATATGGTTTTTCTTTTCTTTAAAATAATTTGAGACATGCCAACAAATTTACAAAGAAATACATTATACTTCTCAAAATGTCAAAACTGCACAATTGATCGTTTTAATTAGGGGCCTTTTGGAACTGTTTGGGACAGTCGGCTTATCATGTAAACGAGTCCAAATATATTTCCTTTTTCAATGCTTAATATATATATTCTCGACTGAAATGCTACATAGGTGAATCGTACACAAAATTAATCAGTTTTGCCTGAGTAGCAGTAGTCTCCAACTCACGCTAGAGTGAACAACGTAAATTAAACCAAATGCAAAATGCAAATTTTACGACTTGCTTTCATTAATAACATGTTGCACTATTTTCGGATGGGGAAAAAAAATAGAATTTTACACAGGTAATTTAAATGCTAATTCGTTCTTATGTTTTTGCTTAATCGCACTCGTGGGCTTCACAAGAAGGCGGGTTTTGCTCTCGAATTAACCGGCAGATGGCAATCTGTCCTTGGAAATTCAATACCAATCTTGCAGAAAGCTATTTTTAACAAATATGGTTGATTTGATCAGGATTTAACCCGTGCCTAGCTTGAGAAGTATGATTGTTTAAGCCTGTTTATACCGAGGTTTACTCCGAAGTGCGAAAATTAAGTTTTATACATATTAGGATGAAGTGGACAGTATTCTCTTACGAAGAAGTATTACACAGATATTCGGATTATTCGTAATGAATTCTCGGTGTTCGTATCTCTGTCTGTCTGACCTTTCAGTTCTGATTTAGAGGGATATCAATTATAACCTTCTCTCAACTAGTGTGGTGAAGCGTTAATACATTGTAATGGTGTACAATTACGTTCTTTGGTCTTGTCACTTTGAAAACAAAGCAAAATTCACGCATTGAGCGGCGTTTTGTATGTCCTAGTTTAAATTTCGACATCGCCTGGGTTCTGAAGCTTCGTGCTTGATAACTTTGGGGTTCATAATCGATTACGCTCTGTATATAAAACGCAGATAACCTGAAAAGATTGCTATCGTTCAAACACAAATAACGGAAACCACATTCCTTTCAAATAAATTTACTTACCTTCGATACAAGATTATTTTGAATAGCACCGCGCCAGTGGTCGATTAATCTTACAACTCGATCGGCCTTCAAGTAACCTCTGAGAAATCCGTGAAATACTTCAGACGATCTTAGCTCATGCTGTGATGTAATGATGCGATTATGTTACTGTGTGAGGTCACTATCATGATGAAGGAACACGACTCGCGATTTAAACGATTTGAAAGATTAACCAGCTGAGCACTACCTTCCAAGAGATCTAGCGAAACGCTGTGTCCCAAGAGGATACTGCAAGGATAATGGAACAGGTTTCGAGGGCAAATATACACAAGACGGGTAATTAAACAGCGTCAAGGCTTTTAAACGGTGCCGAAATGAGGTAATTATCCCCATACAACAAACAAAGCCCTAAGCTGTTTTGTGTTTACGACTGTAATGCTAATGAAGTTCGTTTGTGAATAAATACACATCTACAGTTAAAAGATTTTAATCGACATTTAAGGGATACAGTTTGCAATCAGCACGCTTTAGCTAGGAAAAGAAATCAAAATATTTACGCAAACTTAAAAAAAAATTAAAAAATGATAAAACTAATTCTTACAGAACGTAAAAGGAAATTTGTTGTGTATAGTATCCACGTTAATGTAAAAGAAAACGGAATTACGTCAGATTTTTAATTTTTTTATGACATTGTAAGGTCTTAACCTATAAGTGTTTTTAGAACTGGATTATAAATATCGTATTTTTCTTTTTAGTTTTTTCTTAGACCACAGGTTTTTTAGACCACAAGTGTTTGTTGTAATTGATTATAATATTGTAATGATTTTAGCCTGGACATCAGCCTCGTAGCTGAATGGGCCCCCCTGTTTTAATTAAAGTTCACTTACTTTACTATGGACAATAATAGGGAAGAAATGGGCCAAGGATTGGGCCTCTCCTAGTAAATTAAATTTTTTCCAAAAAAGAAAAAAATTAAAAAGTAGATCAATAAATAATAAATAGAAAGATTTATGTCCCCGAGAATAGGATAGAATAGGGATATTAACCTCAGACGCTTCCTTTTATGTATGCACATAATAAAATTGAATGATTGATTGATTGATTAATAAATGCAGCAAGTAGATCACTGACAATTATTGGATATTGAAATAATCACGAAATTTTACCCTATGTTTCGATGTAACTGGTATCAGGCGCTCGTTATTCAAAGCACTGATTCCTACGCTGCTGCACTGTCGAGCGCCTCCAAAAAACGAACGCCTGATTGCTGGTTAGTTTCGACGTGACACACTTCTTCGTCAGGTCAAGCTTGTTAATTTCACTTTTACGCTTTAGGCATTTACGCCTACATTCTTTGTCATTTATTTCTGGGATGTGACAGTTCCTTCAGGGCCTTTTTGATTTGCAAATTTCGCTTTTATATGCCAACCAAAGCATGACTAGTTTGGCTACGTTTTCCACCACAGTTGAAACTTTCACCGTGGTTAAAACTCTTGTCAGTAGTATTAGGATCATGTGAACTATAGGTAGTCTGCATCGATATATCGGTCGAAACAACGACTTCACCGAATGCCCGACTGCCGACCGATCTTTCGCCCGATAATCGACCGATCTGTCGACTGACTGTTGATCAGTTTATGTAAACCGCTTTATTGTCCTACCGACATGTCATCAGCTCAAATGCCTCTGCTAATCAGCCTTCCTTCTGTATCTGTGATTCTTTACTGTTCGCAGCTCATTTGTGAATAAGAGTTTTCACAGACGATCCTACACAAAGTACAGTCATCCCAAAACATAGCAAAAGACACGGCTAACGGCAAAAATGAGCCGACAATGATTTGAATAGGCCTAAGGGTAAGAATGTTGGCGACAACTTCACCTGTGTTCACGCCAAAGGAAAGAAATTCAAACAAAGAAAAAGACAGATTCGTTAGATATGCAAACGCTACTGCTCGACAAAACTTTGCTCTCTCTGCCATACTACCTTATACAGACGGAAAAATTAAACACGTGATATAACTGTTTACAATAACTGATACAGACATAGCCGCTCCCTCACTGTCATAAAACAGCACTTTTTCTTGGCTCTTAATGTTCATATTCTCTGTTGCATACCATACAACAGTGATTACGACTGCAACTAAGGGAAAGACACAGACAACATTCAACCAAGCGATTTGTGAGAGAAACTTGAGGGGGGTTCAGTTAGTAAAACCAAACCACCAGCGATGGTTATGCGCATCATCTCTGTGATGGATTCCCACGAAAGGGCGTGGTGCATAACAGATCCAAAAACTGCGAGGTGCATTACCAACACGACGAACATTTCGATTTGTATAATAACTGACACGATGTAATTGTGGTTTGACCTTGTGCAAATTCTGTGGCCTTCCTTATCTTTGTCGTAATGGCAGTCAGTTAAAATAGTTCCTGTGTACCACAGGGTAATTAGGATTGTAATAAAAGTGACCAAGGCACCAATTTGATGCTCTGTGTTTGCCTGAGGCAGATAGAGCTAAAAAGCTGACACCTTCGATAAAGCTGACAAGATTCGCTACGGCTTTCCAAACGTCCAGGCGAGCAATCAAGCAAAGCCTCTTTTTTGGAAGTAGGAGAAAGGTCATCGTTGAATAAGTTCTCATCATATGAAGACCGTAACATCTACAAGATGGCTGCATCTTCTTTCCCATTAATCGGTTCAATCCTTAAGAGAAGGTTTACTGTTTTCATTGCTAAAAAAAGAATTGAAGAAGCTGACTTCTTTCTTCCGGTGTCACCCCACAAGGAAAATTGTTTTAAAAAAAACGTAGGTGACCCTCTCTCGCGCGACCTTCATGAAAGAGATCATTTTTTAAAAACTTTTTAGTTTCGTCTTCAAAGTTGAATATTTGATTTGTGCCATATGCAGCTGTTTTGAGAAAGGTTGTCGGGGCAAAAAAAAGCATAAAGTGCACGGGATAACCCCGAAAGGTATTGTGGGAGGTTTTAAGTCACGGTTCCTTCAGTAATCTCAGGATTTCAAGGAAATATCTAGGAAATTTTCTTCTGAACGTCTACGATCTATTTTTTATTTTTAGCATTTACCAGTAGTATGTTTTTTGTTTATTACGTAACTTTGCCACAATAAATATAACTTAAGATTGAAAATGTTCTGCCTTCGTTGTAACAAAAGATTCATATCCCCATCAAGCAATCGAATATTGAAGCGTAAACATTATTCAATACAAGTTTTACTTGCTCTATTTTTTTTTTCAGCACAAGTCACATTTACCTCAGTTTCCCTTTCAGAGGGGCACCTGTGTAGCAAGATTTCGAGTGGGAGGGGAAAGGACAAACATGCAATGGCAAACTGAGTAGAGAAGAAACGCTTTTTCAGAAATTTTTAAACATTTCCTCTAAAAATTGGAGGAAACGGAAGTAAAAATTACAAACGAAATGTCTTATCGCAGGTACACAATGACACTTCAATAAAATGTCCTCCACTGCTAATATAACCTTGAAATAAACCAGAAATTCAACAATTTGACGGAATGAAGTTACCTTTACAGTGTGCAATCGGTGCATGAAGCTGAATTAAAATCTATAAAACGGTAGAGCCCATAAAAATTATATAACTGCATGAGGTAGTGGCTATGTATACCAGATTTTTCAAATACATGTTTACTATTGTTACCATAGAACATTCGACGGTCATGTCAAGGAAAGAAAGTCTGTCTGCCTTGCTTTCCTTTTTTTATACATCATGATAATTGCTTCTCTTTCAGCTAGTGAGGAAAGACTGACCGAAGTCCGTTTGCATGTGGGCCTGTTTGGAGTCTCCTAACTCACTGAAAAGCATAAAAACAGGAAGTTCTGATTAACCAGAAACTTCAGAAATTTATCGTTTTTGTCTATCTTTTCCCCTTTTTTCATTGAATGAAAAATTTTATAATAGTTGATGGTGTAATTAGGGTCAGAGAAAGTTAATACTGGGTACTTAGATTGTGAACACTACTCCAATGAACCTGCTCTTAGCTCCACGGGCACTAAACCTGTAGGTTAAATGCTTAAGTTACTATCTCTGGAAGTGTCTTAGGGATTTTCAGCTCAAGGCTACCGGAAGACTAAAAAGAGCAAATTCAAACATGCTCACGCGGTTCATAGAAGCAACAGACAATGTCACTCTTAAAATAGCTAATATCTTTTCTAAAATGAAAACTGAACTGAGCAAAGGGGCCCGGTTGTGATAGGGTTGAAACCAAGTCAGTCAATTTTCTCAGTTATGTCCAGCTTCAAAACAATATGTTTGAAAAATAAAAAAGAAAAACGATCTTCTGAAACCAAAGTGAAACTTTTGCTCTGTTTGGGCTGCCTAGACGTTGACCTACACCCCTCCCTCAGATGGGGCACGATAGTTTATTTRCGGTGGGGTGGGGGGGTGGGGAGGTGTGTGTTACATTCCTCAAACCCTACCCTGTTTCAAACATACTCTTTTCACCTGCTTACCCCTAATAAAGAGGAAAAGTTGTCTTGGATTGTGATACATCGACATCATGGTATTAATTAGTAGCGCATATGATTGCGCCACTGCCGTTAACACCCATCCGAAGAAAGAAAGATGCACTGTAATTGAAGACTGTGTGAGACCCAAGACCCACCAGGCAATACCCTATATGGCAGCATATACCCGCTAGGCCAAAATAAGGGAGTGCTCCCCTCCCCCCCCCCGAGTAAACTAGGACCTGACAGCCTTAAGACTAACAAACCCTACCCTTACGTTTGGAACAAGAAAATGTTGGCTTCCCAACACGTAAGCGTTGTATGACAGTGTCTTAGCTCACGTCTTCGCATTCTGCTTCGTTTTCTGTGCTTGCTTAAAGGAGTTTGGAGTAGCCAATCCGGAAAACGCACAGTATTTTGTTCATTGCTGAGACCTCTAGTTTCGCGCACGTGGGCAGTGTCAGTTTACAATACATAAATAGAGGCAAAGAACAGTGTAGTTTCATCTATTCAACAGGTCTAACCAGGTACCAAGAAAAGAGAACAAGGAGGAAAAGGTAAAGAGAAGTGACGAAGTCATGTTAAAGGTAAGTAACCAGTACCTTGCTGTCTATTAAAGAAATCAGTACTCCGCTGAATTGGAAGAGGTTTTGTCCCAGCATGTTGATATTACACCAAGCGTGTCTTTCATGGAAGAAATCATAACCTAAAACACACAAAAAAATTCACTTTTTTAGATTCTCCAACCCAAACCTAACTCATAGAAATGTGCAACTCACTAATTAACAGAGCATAACTTTATTCACTTAACGAGGCTATTCTTTCTCTTTTCCGTTAGGCTTCAAATTGCTAGAACATAATCGCTAAGATTTCGGTTTGTTCAACTTAGTTGCGTGCATTTTTGCG